TGGCCTGTCCAGACTTTGGAAGTAAAGAAGGAAGAAGTTGCTGATGAAGAGCCAGCAGACCTGCAGATGTTGCCATCTGAACCAATGCTTGAAAGCCTAGTGGAGCCCAGTGCCAATGAAGTATCAGAAACCATGGCACCTGATGATCCTCTGAATGGGAGTCCTGTGTGCACATGGGTAGTTGAAGGAAACAATTATTTATGTACAGCTCCAGCTCCAGATATTTCAGAAGCCCTGGACATGATTGAATCTGTAAGACATGACTTAATTGAATATTTTAATGAACTACCTCAGTATTTTTCAAATTAGGAAACCTTAAGTTCTATAGACTTTTGACTCCCAGAATTCCGCAGCCAGCAAAGGAGTTACAAGTCTATAGATCTTAAGGTTGCCAAATCTATCTATATAAAAGTGTGTGTGTGTGTGTGTCTGTGTATGTATGTCTTTCAACATAACTCTGGAACGCCTTGAACAATTTCAACCAAACATGGTACACAGATGGCTTACTCTCTGGAGACAAACACTGTGGGGGTAAGACACCCCTTGGGGTGTGTGTTCTGTTACGATACAGCCTGTTATGCCTTCAAATGGCTTCTACTGTACAGAGCAATGGAGTTGCCATGGCAATGGTTTCACAGTACTCCACAATGGAGCTCCCTCTGGAAAGGGGGAAAATCCAACATTAGAAATTACGTTTGGTCCGGACATTTTCCCCTTATAAATAAATAATCAGGTTATCAGCTAGTTTTAACTATAATCAAGGGTAGGAAGAGAATGCGGCAGGAAAGATTATTTGAAAGAAATAGTCATTTTGGTGGAGTGAATACTCTGTGGATACTGTAGTGAATCTGATTGCCATTTTTATTGGCTTAAACGTTGTAAATGTATCTTTGAATGTATATACAGTATATCTTTGCAGATTTTGACTTGATTTTAATGTTTTGGGATTTATTGGTGGTTTGGTGATTTATATGTGACCACTGGTTATATTCATTCCCATAAGCTGAATATAATGGTTAAGGTACTGGATTATGAATGGAGAAAATCCAAATTCTACTTCTAATTTAGAGGTGCTTGCTGGGTGATTTGGCTCAGTTGTCTTTAGTGTACTCAAAATCTATCTACCAACAGGCGCTCAAGTAGCGCAGGAAATTGATCTAGAACAATGATGGCGAACCTTTTAGGCACAGAGTGCCCAAACCAGAAGGCATGCGTGGTGCCAGGGTGCCAGAAACCCGACGACCAGTGTGCATGTGCACTTCAGAAACCCAACGACCAGTTGGCTGGCGCGGATACACGTATTGGAAACTCGACGACTGACTGGCTGAGCTGAAACGATGGCGCACGTGCCCTCAGAGAAGGCTCTGCATGCCACCTCTAGCATGCGTGCCATAGGTTTGCCATCACGGATGTAGAAACTTCCATAAGAGGCTTATGGGTTGATTTCAGCTGCTGTGATAGTAAAACTCATATCCCAAAACTATGAGCAGAATTTTTTACCTCTTCCTCTTGTTTGTTATCTGCAGTCTCATCTTAGACCTGGAACTTACTCTGAACATTCCTATTTTGGCAGGACCCGGATGGCTGGTGTGATCTCTCTCAGTTTGACTTACCTGATGACCTATCTGCAAGTAGTAGCAACAGTCCAGAGAGACAAGCCTCTATAAAACCCTACTGCTCATCACAGAATGTGACAGAATACCGTTTAGATGGCCACACCATTTCGGATCTCAGCAAAGGGAGTAAGGGTGAACTCATCCCCATTTCACCTTGCACAGACATGAGCTTTGGCACCCCCACTGTGCTCAAGAGGCAAAAGAAGAGGAAAATAAGTCTCTCGCCAGTTTTAGAGAGTGGCACCAGTGCAAGCCTTTCCTTCCTTGATTCCTGTATGACACCCAAGAGTACTCCAGTTAAAAGCACGCCTGTCAAAACTTTGCCATTCTCCCCATCCCAGGTAGGTTGGAATGAACTGGCAACGAAATGGACAAAAAAAGAACAAGATAAAGGCTAATTGTGCCAAGGTGCCCTCTTACGTTTAATGATATAATGGTCAATTTTGACAATTGACAGCATCCTTTTTTGGTGGAATGTGTATTTATCGGAGTGAAAGGTGTCAGACTGCATTTGAAACCTACTTTGAAGGAGGGAATTCAGACTAAGGAAAATCAGTCATCAGTAACTACCATATATAATTTATATAGACTTTTGGGCTGTTGGCAGGAAAGAATAGGTTATCTTTTCCTACCTTCCTATCTGTTTTTTTAATTTGATGAAAACTGCACCTTCCAGATTGCTGGCAGTTTGACAGAAAGTGCCCAAACTGATTGGGGACTTTGGATGTTGTAATTGTAGCACAGGGCATCAGTTTGAGGAAAATCCAACTTGATATGAGATGAAAATGATACACAATACCATTCCTGGTGCTTTTAAATGTTAGAAATTGGCCTGATTATATCCTGATAGTATCAGAAATGGGTGGCAATCTTTTGCAAGCCAAGGCAATTTTTCTACAGTACAGGTAGTCCTTGACTTATAACCACAGTTGGGACTGGAACTTGCTTCACTGAGCAATGTAGTCATTAAATGAATTGTGGTCAATTTTATAACCTTTTTGCTGCAGTCATTAAGCAATCCAACTTTTTCCATTGACTGCTTGTTGGAAGCCTCCTGGGATGATCAGGAATGGTGACCACAGGGACACTGTAACAATCTTAAATATGAGAGGGTCAGTTGCAAGTAACATTTTAAGCACTGTTGTAACTTTGAACAGTCATAAAACAAATCGTAAGTCAAGGACTACTTGTAGTAATCTTGTACATCATAGCCTCCAGATTCTCATTTTACGGCACCCTGTTTTCTTCTGCACCATATTTGTTTGTTTGTTTTTATCCCTAAGAAGTGTTCCTCAACCTCAGCAACTTTAAGATGTGGAATACAGACATCTTGTGGCTCTAAAAGTTGATAAAATACCATCAGTCATTATTTTGGGCTTGATTTGTTCAAGTGCTTCCTCTTGAGTTTCTGCTTACAAAAGATTTTTCTCCATGTGTGAAATTTGTATGGACTTCTTGGACTGTATTCTTACATTGGCCACAGGTGTCAATGTTGTGTCACGTTGCCATCATATAACTTTTCATGATGTTTCCCCCTTCATTTGAGCTGGGGTGGGCGTGGCTTGCGCATAACACATCCAGCCCACGGGCCACCAGTTTGACACGTCTGGGTTAGGCATTTACTTGAGATGGATATTGTCCTTCATCTCCAGCCTTGTTTTGTAGTTTTGTGGGTTTTTTTTTTTTGAATTTATGAGCCCCAACACTAGCAACCTGGGCCTTTTTTGCTTGGCCTCAATAACTTTTAAGATCGAAAGTGCCCTGAGGATCTTGCTTCTTACAGATGATTGAACATAGACAAATGCTGTTGGAGGTTTGTTGTTGTAAAACTGTTACCAGGTGTTTCCATACTGACATCCTGTGTCATGTTTATTGCCAGTATGGGAGCTCTCCTGCTATATCAGTTTCCAAGATTTGAAAATGCATTTTTTGCAGACCTGATATCAATTAAAAATTAGAATTTGGTATTAAAAGCTATAGAGATTTAAATTTGGCATTGGATTACACATATATGTTTACCTCCGTTCCCATGTCTCAAACAAAGTAAGAGAAATGATTTGAAAAGGTATTTTCTTCTTTATTCATAAGCTGACTTTACTGAGTCCATTCTATTAAATCCAATACTGCCTGGCACAATTTCAACTAATATTTTCAGGAATTGTTAATGTGTTTCTATTGAATTATAGCTTTTTACTCCAACCCTGAGGCTAAGAAGAGGAAACAATTCCTTCCTAAGGGATTCTCCCTCTATTTTAAAAAGCTTGGCTTATTTGCAATTTTTGAGCCCAAATGGGGAAGCAAGGCAGTTGCCGTGGGGCAGAGCAAAGGTTAAGTAACAGTTCTCCTCCATACCAACTCTTCCAGATTAGTATGGAGGGGAAACATATCAATGTGTAGAAATAAATCAGGCCACAAACTTAACTTCCTTTTGTGAGCTCTAGAGCAGTGATGGCGAACCTTTTTGGCACTGAGTGTCCAAACCGGAAAATGTGTGGATGTGAGCATGCTGAAGAGTGAGCAGGATGTTGCAGAGCAGACACGCTGTTCTGTCCTCTGAAGTTCTTGGATGAGGAATTACATTCGTGTTTTCATTTTCCCCTCCATCCTGTTACCTTCTCTCTGCAACATTCATCAAATTGCTTTGAGATTATCTATTTCCTAGTACCGTGTTTCCCCGAAAATAAGACAGGGTCTTATTNGGCTTTGAAACGGAGATGAGCAGCGCCCACTAGAGTCGGGAATGACTAGCACATACACTATATTGCCAAAAGTATTCGCTCACAACTGATTCTAATTATTTGGATGGGTGAGCGAATACTTTTGGCAATATAGTGTATGTGCGAGGGGAACCTTTACCTTTTTATATTGGTAGATTAGAGGTTCACTTTCTTTCCCATTTCATTTAAAATCTATATTAAGCTGCTAAGTATGGTAATCTGCCAGCACAGGTGAATTATTTGTACTCTGGACCAGATGGGATCTTGACTTGGTCCTTTGGGCTGTTGGATGGGAAAAATACTGTCCAATTAAAGCAGTACACAAGTTAAATTAAACAAATGTGCCTTTTTGAGCAACATATTAATACATTTGATTACAGTAGTTTTTAAACTGGAGATACAAGTACAGTTAACTTAGCCCGTAGCCATCTTATGAATTGCTAAACCAGGGAGACATATAGCCTACTATTTCTATGATTTCCAGGAAGTTTTGCAGCCAATATGGTGAAGCTTTCTAGAGGGAAAGTGATTGTTTATTCTGAATTATGGTAATAAGTCTGTTAGCCTTGTTTGTTATTATCATCTTTTGCATTACTCAGGAGTAATTGTTATGAAATTTCTTATTCTTGGAGATAAGGTAGTCCTCAGCCTAGGACCACAATTGAGCTCAAATTATCTGTTGTTATGTGAGACAGTTGTCAAGTGAGCTTTGGCCCATTTTATGACCTTTCTTGCCACAGTTGTTAAGTGAATCACTGCACTTAAGTTAGTAACACGGTTGTTAAGTGACTCTGTCTTCCCCATTGACTTTGTTTGTCAGAAGGTTGCAAAACGTGATCATACGACCCTGGGAAACTGCAACCATCATAAATATATGCCAGTTGTCAATCATCCGAATTTTGATCATGTGACCAAACGTGATCCTAAGTGTGAAAAATGATCATAAATCCTTTTCTTTTTCTAGCACAGTGTTTCTCAACCTTGGCGACTTTCAGTCCTTTGGACTTCAACTCCCAGAATCCCCCAGCCAGCATAGCAAATAAAGTGTTTTTCCTGTTGGAGAACTGATACCATGTCTCAGGGCATTTCCTGATTATTTTAAATGCCTGTTTTGCTTGCTTTATAATGGATTGATAGGAAAGGCTTGGAAAGAAATCAGTAACTATATTTTTTTTGGCAACTCTTGCTTTTCTCATTGGTTGACTGATACGTGAATTTTCTTTTGCAGTCCCTAAACTTTTCCTTGTCAAGCAGCCAGAATGACAACAGTTTACTCAACAGAGGATTTGTGCACATAAAGACTGAGAAGGTGCCATCTTCCAGAAGAAGCCAAAGTAAATTCAGGGTACCAGCTCTGGTAAGTGTAGGCAGTCATGGACATTGGCTAGATGCCACAATCTTAGGGATTTGAAAAATGGGATGCTAAATCCCTACTGGGCTCCTAGCAACTTATATGATTATAAGATTCATCTCTAAATATATGAATCAAGAATGAAAAGTCACCTTTCAGGCAAGTTGAACTTGTTTCCTGAGGCCTTGCATAGACATATCTGAAATTTTCTGTGCCACAGTGTGGAAGCAGTTTGTCTGTCATTGTGTGTCAACTTACTCTTGTACTTTGAAACTGATTATAAAGTTTGGTCAACCATATTTTTTAAGTAACCCAGTTTACTATATACTGCTTTGACAATATAATGGTTGCCACAGGGCAAAAATTCTGTCTCCCTGTTTAATGATTTTATATCTGTCAATTACAAATGCATTGCTTTGTTTTATTCTTTTCTTTCTACGCCACTGCACTTTTCATAAGCTTCATTCTCCTGCCATTTTGATGTGTGGTCTAGTTTGAAATCTGTTGCGTGATAACAATAATTAAAAAATGTAAATATTCCAAAGGTTCTGCAGTCACCTTCTGTAGGAAAAACAATCATTTTCTTGTTTAAACAGGCAGTTACCTTCCCAATTTGTTGTTTCCATTTATTTGCTATTACCTGCTTTAGAAATAAGGATGCAGGTACCATAATTCTCATGTTACAACTACAGTTGAGCCCAATATTTTTGTTGCTGAGTGAAACATTTGTTTAGTGTGTTTGTCCCATTTTACAACTTTTCTTGCGACATTTGTTAAGTGAATCACTGCAGTTGTTAAATTGTTAACACTGTTGTTAAGAAAAATCTGGTTTCCCCATTAATGTTGTTTGTCAGAAAGTCACAAAAGGTGACCCTGGGACACTGCAACCCTCTTATATGTGAACCAGTTGTCAAGCATCCGAATGTAAATCATGTGACCATGGGGATGCTGCAAAGGTCATAAGTGTCATAAATCACTTTTTTAGGGCTCTTGTAACTTTGAATGGCTAAGATGCTGAGCTTCTCGATCAGAAGGTCGACAGTTCAACAGTTTGAATCCCTAGCACCGCATAACGGCGTGAGCTCCCATTACTTGTCCCAGCTTCTGCTAACCTAGCAGTTCGAAAGCACGTAAAAAATGCAAGTCGAAAAATAGGAACCACCTTTGGTGGGAAGCTTAACAGTGCGCCTTCGGTGTTTAATCATGCTGGCCACATGACCACGGAGACATATTTGGACAGCGCTGGCTCTTCAGTTTTGAAACTGAGATGAGCACCGCCCCCTAGAGTCGGTAACGACTAGCACATATGTGCAAGGGGGAATCAAGTGAACTGTGGTTAGTCAAGGACTACCTGTATGTTGAAATAACATCATTTTGGGGACATTTACAAATTCGTTGTAGCTTTGGTCAACTTAATTGCAGATTGTTGATAATCCAAAATTGGTTGGAATCTCATACCACATTAAATCAAGGTGGTTTTTTCCCCTATATTCGTGTGTATTTCTCAATCATTTGGACGCATGTACAATGGAGTCTTTATATTCTTTGTTTTGTAGATGTCCAGTGCTTGGAAAACTGTGGCTTGTGGTGGTTCCAAAGATCAGCTGATCATGCAAGACAAAGCGCGTCAAGTCCTGGGTGTTTTGAAGCAGAATCACACATCTCGGACATTGATCCTATCTTGAAAAACCCTAATAATATGTAGTTCTGCTTTTGGGAATATATGGAAGTGGGGGTAAAGAGAAAATAGCTGACTTTTTCAGCACAACTTCTCTTTCTGTGACCTCTGAGATTTGCATTGTACTGAGTTTCTGATTCTAAGTGGGGTGTAGAAAATTTGGGCCTAGCAGAATGCCGAGAATGTGGCAGCCCTAAGTGCAAAGAAATATCCATTCTCCTTTTTCGTACCTCCTAGGCCATTTGCATAAGTGGAAACAGATACTGTTTTGTCCTTGACTTCGATTGACCTACAAGAGGGATCCATGAGCTGAATGATTGGACACTGATGAGACAAACCTGGATGTCCAGATCTGGTTAGTTTCCACCATCTCTGTTCAGCTTTGCAGTGTTGGGCAACGGATTTGGATAAAAAGGAAGATTACCTATTATCAGGTGGATGCATCTGAACGCCAGACTGAACCCAGAAGATGATCTGATACACTATGAAACATTGAAACCACTTCCTAAGAGCATTTTTGACTAAAAAACTACTGCAATCACTGCCTTTATCTTTTGTCAACATCTGTTGCTCCTTACGGAAATCCGGGATTACTTAAAAAGCAAGCCACAACATACAAACCTAGTTTGTGTAATATTTCCAGTGTCCACAAGAGGGCGTTGATGTCAACATATTGCTCTAGTGCAGCCTAATATAAATCCATGAAAGGAACAAGCCAGCTATCTGAAAGAAACAGTTGATTGTATTGGGTGCACATTCTTCTAGGAGGCTTTGGGGAACATTTTTGTATAAACCTGAAGGCATGGTACGTACTGCACAAGAAAAGCTACAGTCGGTGTAAATTTGCTTCTGACAACGTCTGAAAGCCACATATACAGTTTTGCTGTAGAAGACGACCTTGGTGTAATCTTGCAAATGGAATGGGTCTCATTATTGATGTGTACAGTAAAGGAGGCAGAACAGTGGTTGGGATAAGTTGTGCCTGTTTGTGGCTTGTGCTATTCATTTGAAGCGTATCATGGTGTTTGGAGAGATCCTGCCAAATCAAATCCTTTTTGTCAACTGACTCAGCTTCCGGGTGCCTGAAGCTAATTGCAAACCTGTGTTATTAGGGCAAAGGGTCATGTTGCTGTGCTATAGGTTGATGCCCATGGTGCAATAGACAGAGAAACATAACTGTGGTACACCTACATCTCTCTTATCAGGGGCAGATCCGTAGGCTTGCTTTTGCAAAAAATGTTTAATATGAACCTCAATCAGTATGAAAGCCTTTCTCAGAAGTACTTGAATATTTTAAATATGCATTTGCATTTAAATGTCAGTCACCCCATACGCGTCTCTGATGTCTGTAAATCAATATCTTAATTGGGACCCTTGAAGTCTGAATTTCCAAGACGGGTAAGGCAGGAAAGAAAAATATGGGGAGAGAAAAAGTCTGAATGACATTAGAATGAGGTGAAACCACTGAGAATATGGGAGATTCTCTAAACTGATATTGATTATATCAAATACAGATGTTCCAGGGAAGAAGAGTCAATTAAGTTCTCATTTTTGAAAATAGGATTTTCATTAGTTAAAATCAAAACCTTTTCTTATTTCTTTGAGGTGCAGAAACTTCAGTAGATAGAAATAAGAAAAGCTACAAGACAAGGGTGTTAAACTGGTGTCCGTGAGGGCTGGATGCGTCACTCACAGGCCACGCCCACCCCAGCTCAGCGAATGGGAAAAACATTGCAAAGCATCACGTGACAGCAACGTGATGCGACTAGTTTGACACCCGTGCCACAAGGCATCTCTCCTGAGTAGCAAAGCTGGTGATCATCTTAAATGGTGAAATTATATCAATCATGCCTGATAAGTTCTTGAAAATTCAAGCTTGCAGCTGTTTGTAAGCTATTTCTTTATCTGTTTTGGATTCCCCTCAGAACCAGCCGTATCCTCTTGATTTCTTTCATTATTTATGCCATCTAATCCACACTGCTATGATTGCTATTGAGCAAGTCTTTATCTCTGTACATAACCTACCTCACAGGGCTGTTGTGAGGCAAGCTGTATAGCTTTGAAGGAATGGAAAAGATACAAATAAAACAAGACTAACAATTAGAAATACTGCTTTCTACTTAAGATGCAAAATGCCAGATAAGGTTGGGGAAAACTGGAAAGGTTTTTTTTTTTTTTGGCTGAGTATTAGCGCTTTTGCAGACTTCTTACCACAATGAGACGGCCCTTCAAATATGCTGAGCTTCAATTAACACATTCCCCCCAGCCAGTTGATTATTAAATACATTAATTGGCAACAATGCAGTTGAAGTCCAGCATATTGGAAAGCTGGCTGCCATCACTGCATATTTCAGAATTGGGGTGGGGGTGGTTTGGACTGGAGCTGTCTAATTAAAAGATTAGAAGAGGAACATTAAATGCTATTGCTAATTCTGCAAATCTGATTCCACCAACATATTCTGCTGTATGAGCTTATTGCTTATAAAGGAAGACTTAATGATGAACAAATTTCAAGGGGATTGAGCAGAGAGCCTGGCTAATAACGAAAACAATTAACTTTTAATGGGAATATTTCTTGCCTGAAGTCTGCCAAACTTTGTTTTCCCTGAGCCTATACCTATAGGACAGGTTACCTTTCAGTGAATATTGAGCAGGTGAGGTATGCTGGGGAAATTTAAACCATAACTGGTAGGCTACTAGTGAGAACTTTAAGGAAAAGGCAAACAAGGATTGAAAGCATTAACGGATCACTGCAAAAGAGGACAAGCTACTTCCTGTTTTCAGATAAAGTACTGGGCTAGAGGTAAAAATGCATGGGTTAAGCCAAGATGAATGTGTTTGGTTGCATCAGACAATATTCTGCTTAGCATATTGGGGACAGTCTTGAAAAAGATGGACGAGAACAAAAACTATACTTGATTTAATATGCTGTAAATTAAATGCAGTGAAGGGTTGCTTCTCTTGAAATCAATATTCCTTTTGTAAGATTAAAAGTAACAATTTGGTGACAATTGTTAAAAGGCCTTTTTTGTGACTGCCCATGACTTTGTTTCTTCCCAGATGTGCATGTGAGATTCCCTAACTACCTAGTCTGCTTTAATATCTCATAAGCTGCTTGATAAAGACATACTATTGATCCCAAACTAAATTGTGCCTTTTGTTTACAGCAAATCTTTCTAAATCCATACCAATGCAAACACTTTTATTAGATACAAATACACAAGGTTTCATATTTAAATTTATGGGCCAGGGCAGCATGTGTGTGGTGGCGCAGTGGTTAGAATGCAGTTTTGCAGGCTAACTCACTGCCAGGAGTTATTCGATTCTGATCGACTCAAAGTTGACTCCTTCCATCTTCCAAGGTGGGTAAAATGAGGACCCAGATTGTTGGAGGCAATATGCTGACTGTAAACTGCTGAGTGAGAGCTGTAAAGCACTATAAAGCAGTATATATTAGCTATTGCTATTAGAAGGGATACCAGCAAAGAATGACATAACATGTCCTGTAATTCCTGTTTCTTGATCAGACACAAAAGAAGACAGATCTGTATTATAATNCCCCCCCCCCCCAAGATGCACATTCTGATTCAAGAGGCCTTAGGCAAAGCATACAGGAGATAAGAGTGAAACAAGAGGAACTTTTTGTATGCTTTATTGCATAATGTGCGTTATTGCACATTGGAAATATCTTACTACAAATAGCAATAGCACTAAGACTTACCGTATTTCCCCGAAAATTCTACATGTCCTCATAATACAGCCATGCCACATTTTTTGGGTGGGCAAAAATATAAGCCCCCCCCTGCATACACTTCTCCTGGACAACCCCCCCACCTCCGGCCAGGCAGAGCACCGCTCACCAACCTAGCAGTATTCCAAAGGTGCCAAGCCGCGGGAACCTGGGGGGAGGCAAAGGTGATCGTGTTGCTTGGTGCCTTCGGGTTATCGCTAGGTTGGTGAGCAGCGCTGTGCTCAGCTGAAGAGGGGGGTTGCCGGGCGGCTGCTCTCTTGCAAACGGGTTCCCAAAAAGCGGGGTACAGCCTCATGGGCGAATGGCTGTGTTGCGGTGTCACAGCAGCGCAACACAACAGCCATGAAGCAACCATGGTCACAAGCAGCCACCTGGCAAACCTCCTTTGTAGCCGGGTTCAGCGCCATTCACTGACCTAGGGGTATCGCCAAGCCACGTGAGGCCATGTTCGCCACCTCCAGGTTCCCGCGGCTTGGCACCTTCCAAATGCCAGTGAATGGTGCTCTGCACGGCTGGAGGGGGGGGGTTTGTGCGAGCGGCTTTTCTGCTCTTGCTCACCCACCTCCCAATGCATGGCTGCCACTCTGGGCGCATGCTCTATGGTTGTATGCTCTGCAGGCAGCTGACCCACAACCATAGAGCATGCGCCCAGATCAGTCACTGCTGAAAGACTCGGGTTGGAAGCTGCGGAAAAAGCCAGGCTGGGATGGCGGAGGTGCCCTGGCTCCGTAATGAGAACTGGGCCATGCATCGTGAGGCTGGGAGGCGGGTGAGTGAGAGCAGAACAGCTGCTTGCGCAACCCCCCTCTCCAGTCGTATTTTCAGGGAAGTCAGCATATTGCCTCCCAATAATCTGGGTCCTCATTCCCCCACCCCCAGAAGGATGGAACGCTGAGTCAAACCTAAGCCTGGTGAGATCTGAACTGCCAAATTGCAAGCAGTCAGCAGGAGTAGCCTGCAGTACTGATTTCTAACCACTGTGCAGCCGTGGCTTTTATGGTGATTGCTGTGAGATGGGCAGTAAGTAAATTTAATAAATATATAAATTGTCAGCATTTGTTTCCTTTACAAATACTTTGGATATAAATGTATTGGGTGATGTGGGCTGGCAGGGAATGCTACATTAGAGTTAGCAGTCCTGCCTCCTCATGAGTTAAATTAACTCAGGTTAAGGTCCCAAAAGTTAATAGTACTTTCTTTGACTGTTTCTTTTGTCATTCATCTGAATCCAGTCTTGGATTTAAAAATGACAGTGCTTTTCTCTTCTGCATGTATGTTTTCAGATTTGTAACTCCTGATCAGAAATATACGGCTGATAATACACCTCATACACCAACTCCTTTTAAGAATGCTCTAGAGAAGTATGGCCAAATAAGGCCTTTGGTATGTATTGAGCCAATTCATGGATCCTTTCTATGTTTGTATCTCATATCCCCACTAGATTAATGATTCTCTAATATGCCTCAAGAAATGGAGTCCAAAAAGATATCTTGTCTAAGTTTAATAAGAAACTGATTCCAGTTTCTGGATTAAATTTGATTCCCATTCATGTTTGTGTTCTCTCAAGGTTGATTTAAATAATTTTCCTACATATTATAGAGAATTGGACTACATGATCCTTGTGATTACTTCCACAATTCCATATTTCTGCCCATATGGTGGGTTGCCAGGGTATTGGCTTGAATTAATTATTTTACAGAGATCTTTTGAAACTAGGCTGAAAATCAAAAGTTGATTGCTTTGTTTTTAAGATGTAATAGTGATTACCATAGATAGGAGATCGTGATATGAATCCTTTCAATTTTCTCTCCATCCACACAACTCTCTACAAAGCTCTTGTGCTACCCTCTATCTCCTGCTTTCTTGGGGAATCAGATTTTTCCCTTCTAATTATGTGCCGTTAGAAATAAATCAGATAAAATTTATTAATATATGTGGGCAAAGTTACTATTTTAGAAATGGGTGGAACTGTTCCTTCAGGGTAAAGAACAAAATGCCGAAATGTTTAGCCATGATTCTGCTACTAATCACATCTTGTTGGCTCCCCACCCCACTTTGTATCACAAATTGTAGCCCCAAACACCTAATCTTGAAGAGGATTTGAAAGAAGTACTCTGGAATGAGGCTGGAATGGAACTGATTGTAGAAGATGACGTGAAGCCAGAGAAACAGAAGAGAAAACAGGGTGTAAGCATCTGATTAAGCATGTCTGCTAAAAGTTATCTTTCCTTTTAATTGTCCTTCTAACTTTTTTTTAATAAAAGTTTTTTATTTTTAATTTTCAAAACATTGTGTGTTATGGTTAGATATTTTAAATTTAAGATTTCAGGAATTCTAAATTGTAGCAATTAGTCCTCAGTTTAGGGAATTGACTGAACAAGCCTTGTTCGTTTGTCCATTTGTAATTTATGCTGGAGCTGGCAGGCTTGGCATTAATCTTTGTGGTTTGCTTGACTTAATATTGCCCTGCTTTGGTATGCTGTTATTTCCCAGAAAATCTTATTAGCATTGGGTTTTCTTTGCTGCCCACAGGCATTGAAAGGATCTTAGTGACAAGAATGTGCAAATAAATTAATTCTCCAAAACTTAATTCATGTCAAGATTGTTTAGGTTTCTGAAATAATTCACAAGTAGTCAAATTTAGCATCTGACAAATCCTGGCGCCCAGACTTTTTTTTAATATCCTGGTTAAAGCTAATATCCTGATTCCATTGCTTTTTCCAGTTGCACAGGAGTCCAATTAAAAAGGTCAGGAAATCCCTTGCTTTGGATGTTATTGATGAAGACTTGAAGTTGACTGTTTCCTCTGTAGCCAACCCTATTTGCTTCAAAAAAACTCAGGTGAGCTGTGTTCCCAGAGAGAGTAAGTTGGTAACACATAACAATTTTAAAATATCTCCCTTGCTACAATATTCTTTCATTGCTATGGGAAAGTTGATATCTCCCCAGTCTTTGTCCTTCCAGAAGGCAATTTCATATGTTCTTACACAATGGATCACTGTGCAGTACATGTATAGGCATAATTATATGCACACACTTTAAACTCTTCCTGTTTCATAAGACAAATTTAGCTTTAAGAAGTCTTAATGTTTTCAGTTCTGGGTTTTTGCAAATACTGGCGAAAGACCTCTATTTTACATAAAACCTGGCAACATTTCGTGAAGAAGAACTGTCCCCCCCTTTTCTAGAATTTTCCCTTCTTTTAGGTACTTTGAGAATTGATAGTTTTTCATTCTCATAGCATTTGCTTGTACTTTACCAGTGCGTTGTGATTCCCTGCAATTTTCAGTACCAGAAATGATAATGAAACATTTCCTTCTGGCAGCAATTTCTGTAAGAGCACTTAAGCATATTAGTGAGAACTGTTAGGTATTGTCTGTTAATGCTAATGAATTATCTTGAAACTGTATTTTTTTAAAAATAAAATACAACAAACTCCCATTTGATTTTTTTTTATAAAAAAAATTATTGTGTACTTGTGCACCGTTAATTCTGATGTAGTAATTGATACTTGACTTGTTAATGTGCTTTTCTGTAATGCTATAAATTAGAAGGCAGCAGCTTATTATCATCCATCCTGCAAAATAGTTAGTCTCTGTTGAGTTTCAGGAAAGCTGCATTGGGCCCACGCTGCTTTTAGCAACCACATTTCTCAGCCTGCAGATAAGTGGCTCAATTTTATTACAGATAAAAATATAATAAACACATTGTGGGCAGGGAGAAAAAAAAATGAGGCAGGGGATTGCAGACTCAAGAGTTAGACTAGGAAAATGTTAATGGTATTGAAGAAAAATGTATGTGGAACTTCATTAAAATAGCAAAATGCCCCAATTTTGATCAAAAACTTCCTTGGAGCACAAGAATTCAATTCATTACTTTTAATAAGGCAGCAGCTTCTTTAGTAGGTGCTATTTTTCTAGAATTTTAAAGAACTTATGTGAAAAGGGTATGTCAGTCATCTTGAAGGAGATAGTGATACATCTTCTGCTTAAGAGCTCATGTCTGTAACTGGCTGTGTTAGATAACTTTCCCTAATTTTCCCTTTTGGAGGGTAGATTGTGGAGAAAGTGATATGACAGTAATAGAAGTCCCTGGGGGAAGTAGAATATCTAGGTTTTCTCAGGCATGGGCTGCTCACAAGGTCCACCTGTGTTGAGACACTTGTATGCTCTGTGTAACCCTCCTTGTGCTGCTTGATTTCCCAATAGCCTTAGGTGCCATCAACCATGACATACTTTTGGATTGCCTGCAAGGATTGGGAGTTCAAGGCACAATGTTGCAGTGCTTTCCTTTCTTCTTAAATAGGCAAGTCCAATAGTAGCTGTGGGGTGAGAAGGGGCTGAACCTCTTCTTAAATACTCCAGTATATTGGTAGATTGAAAGGGATGTGGTGGCTCAGTGGCTAAGACACTGAGCTTGTCGATCAGACAGTTTGGCAGTTTGAATCCCTAGCGCTGCGTAATGGAGTGAGCTCCCTTTACTTGTCCCAGCTTCTGCCAACCTAGCAGTTCGAAAGCATGTAAAGATGAAAGTAGAAAAATAGGAACCACCTTTGGTGGGGAGGTAACAGTATTCCATGCACCTTCGGCATT